GATGTTTGGAGGCCAAATTCTGTAACTCCTGCAAGAGAGGTCACAACATTGGCACTGACAGGCTGGAACAGCTCTGCAAAGGCTCTCCCAGCAAAGCCAGTCTAAGCCTGTGCCCAGCACCCTGCTCCAGCTGCCCCAGTCCCAATGGATGGGGAGTGCTCCATGTCTCCCTCGCACACCACGTACCTCCGTGCCCTCCACACATCCCATGCACAGCTGCTCCCATGGACACCTCTGCCCAGATGCCCTGTGCTGCGGCTGCCCCGACACAGCTCTAACCCTTTTCAAACCCCCTCCCAGCTCCAACCTCCACCCTGGCACTGAGCACTCCTGTCCCCCAGCGCAGCCACTGCCTCCCAGCACGGCCTCACCTTTGCTCGCTGTCCCTTGGGGTCCCAACAGGTTGCAAACACCCACTGTGGAGGATTTGGCAACCCCAGCAGATGCTGGACGAGCCCCAGGCCGAGGCCCCTGTTGGCCCCAGTCACCAGCACAGAGCGGACACAAAGCTCTCCCATGTTGCTTCTCCCTCTGCTCCAGTGTTGTTTTCTCAGCTCTCTAAGGTTTCCTGACAGCATATTTCACAGACACACCCCAGTCCCTCAGGGCTTGCACCAACCCTCGGCTCCTCTCCAGGAGGAGCATCATCTCCAGGTCTTTTTGCTCCAGGACACAGATCCTGGCTGGGAGCCTGTCCTAGTTACCTAAAGGCAAAAATCACTTGATGCAAGGGCTGGAGCAGCTCTGCTATGGAGACATGCTGGGAGAGTTGGGGCTGTTGAGCGTGAAGAAGAGGAGCCTCCAGCAAGACTGTAGAGGACCTTCCAGTACCTAAGGGGGCTCCAAGAGAGCTGGAGAGGGACTTTGGACAAGGGCATGGAGTGACAGGACAAGAGGGAACAGCTTCAAAGTAACAGAGGGAAGAGTTAGATTGGGTGTGAGGAAGAAATTTTTCCCTATGGGGGTGGTGAGGCCCTGGCACAGGTTGCCCAGTGAGGTTGTGGCTGCCCCATGCCTGGAAGTGTTCCAGGTCAGGTTGGATGGGGCTTGGAGCAACCTAGGATAGTAGAAGGTGTCCTTGCCCATGGCAGGGGGGTGGAATGAGATGAGCTGTAAGGTCCTTTCTAACACAAACCATTCTACAATTGTTTCTATGATTTACCAAATAGCAGTGTGTTAAGGACTTTTTTTGCAAGTAGATACATGCCACAAATCACAACAAATCCCTGATTCATTTTTGCTGGGCTGTTACCACATGAATTGGCAGTTTCTGCTGTGGTGGTGCTAAAACAACATCACCTTGGACCTGTTTGAGAGAAAACTGCATTTTGCACATCCCATCACAGCATCTCAGCATGGGATAGCAAATCACTTTGATATTCCTGCATTGCCAGTCGGATCTGGCGTGGACATCTCTCTCCAGCTCTACAGGGCTTTGTAAATTCACTCTATACCCTGGAACAGGCAGGTTGGTGGCAGCCCCAGCCTTCTTCTCCTCCCATAGTAAGCTTTGCCAGCAGTTGTTCATTTCCCCTCACACATGGAGTAAAACTTACCATTTTGTTTGCTTGGTCCTGGTGATAAAGCCCAGTGCACGTGACAGAAGCACACACCAACACACCGTGCTTTTTGGCATGGCAAATGGGAAATAATCTCTTCTGGCAAGTGGTAACCAATGTTTCCCCTCCAGGAACTTGTGGAAAATGTTCCCTGCTAATGTATTTGCTTAGTTGCTCCCGTGTTATTCATAAGACTGCATACAGGTACAATATCAGGACATTAAGCACTCACACACCTTTCAGTCACTTGGACAACCTCACGGCCACGGTTTGACCCTTCTGCCTTCTACTGCTTTTCCTTCATGGCAATATCCCTTTTTGCGGTCCCACAGTCCTGTCTGCACCAGCAGATGCTTTGGCATCGATGGCCATCCAGTGCTGTGCTATCCAGCTTCTGGGTAAAACATTCCTCTGAGGGAACATGACAGCAGCAACCAGCTCCTTCCCTCCTGGGCCTCGACAGCTTGTATGGTGAGCTGGTCATGCATCTCCTCTCTGCTCCCTTCCTCAGCCTCTCCTTCAGTTCTATCCAACTCACTTTTTTCTCCTGTTTTCTTTCCTGAAGTTAATCAGACCTCAAATTTTCTGCATTGGGTTGAGAGATTCCTTTTGCCTTGTGAATTCCTACCACTTACCAGCAGTATGTGGGTTTTCAGCTTCTGTCTCAGACTGATCTCTCACTGAGGAACACCCAGATGGCTGGACTGGCATTCAGGCTCCTGTAGATCATTTCAGTGTTTCCTTTTAATGACCACAGACCTCAACTATACTCGACAACAGATGTCATTTGCACCAGAGCTCAACTCCTCCAAACAGACTTTCTATGGTTTTCTTCTTCTAGACAGAGGACGAGGCCATCACCCACAGCCTGTTTGAAAGGTCCCCAGTGCCTCAAAACCAGATGGCACCAGAAACCAAACAATTAACCTTTGAAGTCTCCTGGTTTTGCTGTGTCACCACATTTTTGTAGCCATCTAATTGTTTTGGAGTTGTAACTTTATAATGTTGACTTTGCTGTGGTGTCCCATGCTGCATTATAGATTATTAGAGTTTAAACAAGCGCTGCTTCACCAGGAGTCAGAGTCCAACCTGGCACGAAGAGGCAGAGGGGAAAGCAACCAGCCTCACTGCCTTACAGCCCAGGGTTGTCACAAGGGCTGCTGCTGTCCCCAGGCCTCTGGAAGAGACCTCAGACCAGCCCCTAAGAGGGGATTCCAATTGTTCCTTTGCTCTGAAATGTTCTTGCATGGTCCAAACCTTAAGCTGAGCATTAAAGTCCTTAAAATCATGGGTTGGAAAAGACCTCCAAGCTCAACCAAGAGCCTAACCATTCTGCTGACACTGCCAATTCCACCACTAAACCAGGTCCCCACATGCCACACCCAACACACTTTTTCAACACTTCCAGGGACGGTGACACCACCACTTTCCTGAGCACCTGCACCAATACTTGAAAACCCTTTTTGTGAACAATTTTTCCCTAATATCCAATCCAAACGTTCCCTGGCATGACCTGAGTCCGTTTCCTCTTGTCACTTGAGAGAAGAGACCAACCCCCACCTGGCTACACCCTTTTTTCAGGGAGTTGTAGAGAGCAATGAGGGCCCCCCCCTCCCCCCCCCCCCGAGCCGCCTCCTTTCCTCCAGGCTGAGCCCTCACAGCTCCCTCAGCTGCTCTTTAGCAGACTTGTGCTCCAGACCCTTCCCCAGCTCCACTGCCCTTTTCTGGACATACCCCGGCCCCTCAATGTCCTTCTTGTTGTGTGTGGCCCAAAACTGGACACAGGATTCAAGGTGCAGCCTCTCCAGTGCCAAGCACAGGGGTACTGTGCCCTCCTCTCCCATGACCCCCCAGGCAGCGGAAAATTTCACCTAGGGGTGTATTCCACATCTCCACACCGAGGAGACCCGGGAGCCAGTTTTCCAGTCACACCTTGTCCTGCCTCACTTGCTGCAAGCCCAGGTGTGCTCACACTCAGGGAGGTGATTGCACAACGACAGTGCTGCTCACAGAAACACGGGGGAACACGCTTTTCTCTGCCTGCCAGGGGAGGGGGGGTGTGGCACAATTAGCTTTAGCACATTTAATCTACCGCAAATAAGAACAAAATGGCTTCTATTTATCAAGCAGATTTGCTCCAAAAGGCATTCAGATCTGTTTGGGACACATATTAGTCACTTGCTAAAGAATCAAATAGGTGGTGATGAACGAGCCACTGATCAAAGGGTGGGGTGAGACCCAGCACTGAATGTGAAGCTGGGCAGGCTCCCACCCACCCTGACTCATTTTCTTTTGGGCTAAAGAGGATTAGGGATCTAGTGGGGGTTGTAACTACGAGATCTGTAGGGGCTCTTCCAAGCAAAGCCATTCTGTGATTTTATTATATGATTTCATGCCTAGTGATATCCCATTGCAAAAGAATGCAGGGACTAGGGGTGAGAGCCTGAGCTTGACTACAGCTCCCAGGCAGGGTTTCCCATGCCCCCTTTGTCACAGCTTTGCTGTTTTCCAAGAAGACTGATCCAGGTTACACCTGCATTATATCAGAGCTGGAGAGGGACCTTGGACAAGGGCATGGAGTGACAGAACAAGGGGGAACTGCTTCAAACTGACAGAAGGCAGTATAAGATTGGGTAATAGGAAGAAATCCTTCCCTATGAGGGTAGTGAGGCACAGGTTACCCAGTGAGGCTGTGGCTGCCCCATCCCTGGAAGTGCTCCAGGCCAGGTTGGATGGGGCTTGGAGCAACCTGGGATAGTGGAAGGCGTCCCTGCCCACAGCAGGATAGTTGGAACAGGATGGTCTTTAAGCTTCCTTCCAACTCAAACCATTCAGTGATTCTATGACTGAGATTTAAAATGCACAGATCTCCATTCAAACTCCCTTGGGCCACAGCACTGGGACCCACTGCCAGCCTGGGGCCCCACACTGAGTTCAGAACCTCTTTTCTGGGGATGTTCAAGCAGTCAAGGTGCCTCAGCTACCTGGGTGCAGCCATGCTGGCAGCACTGGCAGTTGACCACAAGGACAGAATCGCACTGCCAGGACCCATGGGGACACCACAGATCCCCACTGACCTTCTTTTCTGCCACCCTCCAAGGATAGAGGGATGGGTTATCCTTCCTGCTTCAGCACGATTCCATGAAGAGGGACCTCAGAACTACCATGCAAGACAAATTTGCTTTCCCACCATCACATTTGCTAACAGGGATGGCTGAGCACAGGCTGTTGTATGTAACAGTTATGCTCCATCTCAGGAACACTAAGGCTTAAATGACCAGCTTGTGACTGGCTTGGTTTGACATCCATGTGTTAGAGTGAGAAAAGGAGGCATGTGTTAGTTTAAGAATAAATACAGTAATAATGCAGATATTAATTTAGGAATCAAGTTGAAAAAAATCATTAAGTCTTATTAAGGAAAAACATTTCATAGTGAAACAGTGGATCTTTAACAGTACAATCTTTACTGTACAATCTTTACAGTAAAATCTTTAAATTAAAAAGCATATAAGGTACTATTGAAAATTCACTTCCTGCAAAGAAGTTAAAAGCTGAGCCCCCTGCTACTCCAAAAATGTCACGACAAGGCAGATGATGTGACCTACTGCCCACAAAGCTGAGCAGAAAAATGCAGTCTGTGAACAGCAAAAATTCATACTGTTCTGTAAGTAGCTGTGGGAACTGCACACTGCTCGGGTAAAACAGGCTGCACTGATATTTTATCAGCAGAAATTAAAACTTTCCATAGTTGTTCCTTCTGTTTTCAAACTGTATTTGTTAAGAGGGAAGGAAAAAGTTACTTGCCTTTTTTTTTTTTTTCCTGTTTCCCCCTCTCCCTCTAACTACATTTTTTTTCTAATTCCAGTGACTAAAGCAGCACTAACAATGGATCCATCAGCTCAGTGCAAAGGACATGTGCCCACATGTATTTTGGTTTTTACAGCACGGAAACTTTAATCGAATTACAAGATCAACGAGCTGATAACAGGAATGACTAGTTTAGATTTTTAGCTCAGTGAACTCAAATATTTCTTTGTATTCTTACAGAAGGTTTAGTGGGATGTGTCATGGTAGAGAGGTGGGAACTAGCTGATCTTTAGGGTGCCTTCCAACCCAAAGCATTCTAGGATTCTATGATTTATACTCTCAAGCACTTAAAATGTATGAATATCTGACTCAGGGTTTACCAGGCAGCAGGAGTTTCCCAATGCACTTGGGTAAGCTTTGGGGTTTTTTTGTTTTGGTTTGGGTTTTTGTTTGTTTGGCTGGGTGTTTTTTGGTGGTTTTTTGTTTGTTTGGGGTTTTTTGTTTGTTTTTTGTTTTGTTTTGTTTTTTGGGTTTTTTTGGTGTGTTTTTTTTTTTTTTTTTTGGTTGCATTTCTTATTATTACCTTCTGGAAGCCTCTCAACTCTTCACTAACAAGGTTTTTCAAAGAATCGATAATCCCCTATTTTATATGGGAACAGAAGCACAAAAGCAGGTCAAGCAATGCCCTCACCGGGAAGTATTGGGTTACAGGATGCTCTGAGCTGCCTTCCTTTCACGGGTCACATTTGCATTCAGAACAGGCTCCTCCTGCCTTCAGCTGTGGCTGCCCATTAACCGTTTCTGCACAGCAGATCACGGGGGGATCCCTGTATCCAAGGCTTTTTGAAACAAGCACCTAGGAAGAGCCTGTTAATGCAATTTGCCTGCAGTGTGCAGGATCTGTGTGGAAGAGGTGGCCAAAACCCCATCCCACAGTGTGGTTCACCGTGACTGTTTGTACCCCAGTCCTTATTTGCAGAGAATGAGGCAGCAAAAGGAGAATGGGACCTTTAATCCAAATATCTGCCATAAGGAGGGTTTCTTCTTTTTAGTTTATTTAGTAGTATAATCGAAGATTTTTATTAAATCCCAACTTCCGTACATATCTACAAAAAAAGGTTCTCAAAGCATTTTGATATCCCAAACTAAACTGGGGAGCAGAGGCTCCACCATGGAGAAGGATAAAGTTAACACAAATCACCTGATGCTACCACTACACTAAGTATTTAGTTTCTGATTTATCAGCAGAGATGATTTATCTAGTGTTTGTCAAGCAAGGATGAAAATAAGCAAAAGAAATAATGATCCTTAGGTGCACCAGGGTTGCTCAGTCATTACTTTGCTGCTGAGCTCCTGATTATGTGCTCACCCTAATGGGATTTTAATGTTGGTTGTGCATCTGGTTGTCGATATAACAGCTGAAAATAAAACACCAACACTCATCCCCAGGCTGGCAGCAGAGCTGGTATATGCAGGCCCCCTCCAGACACTGTCCTCCAGGTGATGTTCATTGTCTCTTTTCTGTGTTCCCTTTTCCCCTCAAGCCCTGTTTTCCTACCCCTAGATGCCAGCAAACCTTTTCCTTGCTTTCTTCCTTAACTACACCTTTGGTACATCTGTTGAACCAGGTACCTGACACTTAGCAGCAAAAATAAGAAGAAAACATCTCCCAAAACAGCTGCACCCCCAACTGCAGTCTAAGTCACAGAACGGTTTGGGTTGGAAGGGACCTTAAAGACCATCTCATTCCAATCCCCTGCCATAGGCAGAGACACCTTCCACTAGCCCAGGTTGCTCCAAGCTCTGTCCAACCTGGCCTTGAACACTTCCAAGGCAGGCACAGCTTCTCAGAGCAACCTGTGCCAGGGCCTCACCACCCTCACAGGGAAGGATTTCTTCCTATTATCCAATCTAACCCTGTCCTCTGTCAGTTGGAAGCCATTCTCTTGTCCTGTCAATTCATGCCCTTATCCAAAGCCCCTCTCCAGCTCACTTGCAGACCCTTTAGGCACTGGAAGGGGCTCCAAGATCTTCCTGGAGCTTTGTCTTACCCAGGTTGAATGACACCATCTCCCTTCGCCCTCCCTGGAGGTCCTCCAACCTGTGAAGATCTTTATGGCCCTATTTAGTTACCAAATTTATTGCATCTGATGCTCAGGGAAAGAGCCAAATCAGGTGCATATCTGGGCAGGCAATAAAA